TTTCCTCCCTATACTTTAAGTTAAGGAGGGAATGTTCCCCGTTCTTTTACACCTCTTAACCTTTGACCTTTGACCCCCAGCTTCGACATCCCAACTCGTTTTCGGATTACCCCCCTACGTCCCGACTTTCGAATCCGTACGTCGAGCCGTTTAGATTTGTGCCCAACTGTTGACGGACGCACGGACGCACGCACGCACGGACAATCATGCGATTCTACAAGCTGCATCTGACTATGTCAGATGAGCTAAAAATTATGTGAGTAGATACGCGACATTCCCGCGACCTGTCACTGATGAATTTCCTCTCAATGTCACCCTGAAGATTAGAACACGACAACCTGAACGACTGCGAGGGTCTGAAAGACCCCGCAGGTTTTTAAGCCACTGCGTGTCGAAAAGGTACGTTACTCTAGCCAACAGGGACTGCGTGTAAGCAAAACCATGAGAGACATAGAATCCGACGAGAGACACAGGTTGCAACGAGACAAGTATGCAGCGGTGAGTATCGTCACGCATCACGACCCCTCACCCTCAGTAAATATAAAGATTTGGGTATGACAACTCCGGGTATGGCTCGAATGGAATTACAAGAACGTTCACAGTTTTACATCGATGCGGACACAACATGACCGGCGAAAGCAGTTCTACGGTAAGAGATATGCGGACAAGTCATAGTAGGTTGGATATCCTTTGCGGCATCGTGTGTCAAAGCGCGATCAGCTCGCGGCATACCAGAAGGAGAGATATTTTCGTAGTATCTTCCAACGGGAATACATGACAAACGAGATATCGAAATCGTTCGTTATTGTGTTCCCGTATCTATGGTAGGGCGAGTCGTGGCTGCGCTGTACCGGTGTTCTAGCAGTTCGATTTGCCAATAAAGGCAAAAAACGTCGGGTTAGTTTGAAGTCAGAGCCACGCGACTTAAATAGGCTAAAATGTAAATAATAATATACATTTGATTTCCGCGCGGGGCGCCGACAAAAGAAAAAAAAAAACGTTCGAAATCGATTTGTACGATTTAAAATTTAAATAAACAAAAATAACACAATTATTTTACATTTCATATGGCCATCAGAAAAAATGTACACCGTGCATGTACGTACACACGCTACGTGTTTATCATGGAACGTTATTAAGATAGATAGATGGTCACTTGTTCGTAGCAATATTTTGCTACCAGCGCCTACCGACCTGCCATCTATCACGAAATATGAAACACGCAAGCTACGCTCGGGATCTGGAATATTCATCATAGGAAAAATCCGTCATAGAGAAAAAATAGTCCGTAGACACAAAGCGCCAACGTTTTTTTTTTTGATAATACGACTTAAGAAAGTATGCGATAGGTTCATAGTTAATAAGCAGCTCTGAGCTATTGCAGTTCATTGGGATAGTTTCGGAACGTCTCCCCTCTCTCCCTCTCTATTCGATCTCTTTTAATCTCTTTCACCCCCTCTCTCTCTTCTGCACGCTCTCTCTCGCTCTTCCCCGATCCGGCATCATCTTCCCTTATCCAGGGCAAATGGTCATTATGACCAGTTTTCCTCGGAATCATTTTCCTACACCTACGTAAGATAAGTGCCCGTGACTACTACGACAGCCCTGTCAAATAATAAGGCACAATTGATTATATAACATACGTATTATATAACGCACACATACGCACAAACACACGCAAACAAGCACGCACGCACACACACACATGCACGCGCACGCACAAACACGCAATCACGCACGCACGCACACACACGCACACACGCACACGCACGTACAGATATGCACTCATCTTCTTCACAGTCTCTAATCTAATCTCCATGTTGTCGCACCGCGTCCATTTCACCGTTCCGCGAAAACATAGAGAGAGAGAGAGAGAGAGGAAGAGAGAGAGAGAGAGATAAAAGAGAGAATACCCACAGTGACATTCGTCGTTGACATTAATGGACTGAATAAGGCTTACTAGTATAATATTCGGCATCGCGCGAGATCTCCATCTTGCGTACGATCTCCATGGCAACTACCGACTCATGACAGAGATGCACTGCTGAGAATATAGACGTCGCTATGATCAAATGATCAAAAATTGGAAAAAAAATGAATGCGGCAAAACTGAAGCCATTTTCACGACTCCTCGAGCCCACATATGAGCCAACGGAAGTGAACGTTGGGGGCCGTCATCGGATGGAATCATGGCGAAGCGAGTTTCACTTTCACGTTCAATCGCTCGAAAAGACTTCCCATTGGTTAATGCATTCGTGAAAATGTTATTTGATTGGCTCGCCCAGCACGTCGGCGTTTGCGATCACCTGACGCGGTTTAGCTCATCTAGCCAGCTAGACGGCAACGTTGAAAGGACGTTGATACGAAATAAACGAATCTAATAGAATATCTTAATAGTTTGATGTCTCCCGAAATTTCTGAGTAATCTCGCATCAGATTCTATACGTATTTGGTCATAATCGGTAGGTAATTGAGCGGTTATTTACAAATCAGCCTCTTAACGTAAAACAAGTAGGAAATGCCGAAAACCGCGAGCACCTTTACGGGTTCGAATCGGTCGTCTCTCGCGCGACACTTCCTTTTGCTTTTGGCACAATTCAGGAAAGCATCACCTCCACAATGCAATGCGCGTGTTTCTATCTGCCATCGAACACGTTGTTCGTCACTCGAGAGCAGCACGTTGGGGCAGTTACCACACACCGCGACGCAAAACACGACCCCTTATTTTGCCACTGGCTGCATTGTCTTGAAAGTGGTACATTGAAGCAGTTAGCACTCTCCGCGACGCAAAACACGATCCCTGTTTTGCCACTCACCGCGTTTTCTCAGTGGTATATTGGGACAGATAGCACTCTCCGCAACGCAAAACGCCATCCCTATTTTGCCACTCACCGTGTTTTCTCAAATTGGTATATTGGGACAGATAGCACTCTCTGCGACACAAAACGCGATCCCCTATTTTGCCACTGGCTGCGTTCTCCTGAAAGTGGTATATTGGGATGAAATTTTCAACCTTAGATAGAAATTAAGTAGTCGGTTACCCAAACACTCAAATGTATATAAGTGCACGCCTATGACCACATTGAAAGCATAAACTGGGTGTGGCCGCACACATGGAGAACCGTGAGATGGCAATGGAAACATTCCAGTCAGCTCCCAATGCCATCTAACGGGAAACGGCGATACTATACCGCTATAATATACCACTTTAAGAATCGACACTGGTTTTGCGACGCACAACTGCGAGACAGCGACGGTTGCCCAGCTCCCGTCTCGCCGGTCCCCTCGCACCGGCCGCTGCTGCGGCGAGGCGTGCCGGACAGTCCCTGCGCTGTGGTGTGTCTCTGATGCAGTGTCGGAGATTTCGGGGGGGCTGCATGCGTCTCTCTCTCACTCTCTCTCTTTCTTGTGATCGCCGCGGGACAGTGACGACTTGTCTTCGCTTGCGTAGTAAGCCGAACACATGCCGCGCTGCGTCCCTCCAATATGATGACCATGCCGAGTTATGAACATCTAGTGTTTACTAACGATCCAACACTGAAACTTACTAGTAGATTATGAAACACCAATTATTATTGAATCATATG